CAAAATAACTGCCCATGAACTGAGAAAAGTCAAGCGTGCAGCTGCCAAGATGCCACTTGCCACCAGTTTGGCCATATTTCAGAGCTGCAACATCACTGGAGTGCCCAAAAGCACAAGGTGTGCAATACTCAGAGACATGGCCAAGGTAAGAAAGGCTGAAAGACGACCACCACTGAACAAGACACACAAGCTGAAACGTCAAGACTGGGCCAAGAAATATCTCAAGACTGGTTTTTCTAAGGTTTTATGGACTGATGAAATGAGAGTGAGTCTTGATGGGCCAGATGGATGGGCCCGTGGCTGGATTGGTAAAGGGCAGAGAGCTCCAGTCCCACTCAGACGCCAGCAAGGTGGAGGTGGAGTACTGGTTTGGGCTGGTATCATCAAAGATGAGCTTGTGGGGCCTTTTCGGGTTGAGGATGGAGTCAAGCTCAACTCCCAGTCCTACTGCCAGTTTCTGGAAGACACCTTCTTCAAGCAGTGGTACAGGAAGAAGTCTGCATCCTTCAAGAAAAACATGATTTTCATGCAGGACAATGCTCCATCACACGCGTCCAAGTACTCCACAGCGTGGCTGGCAAGAAAGGGTATAAAAGAAGAAAAACTAATGACATGGCCTCCTTGTTCACCTGATCTGAACCCCATTGAGAACCTGTGGTCCATCATCAAATGTGAGATTTACAAGGAGGGAAAACAGTACACCTCTCTGAACAGTGTCTGGGAGGCTGTGGTTGCTGCTGCACGCAATGTTGATGGTGAACAGATCAAAACACTGACAGAATCCATGGATGGCAGGCTTTTGAGTGTCCTTGCAAAGAAAGGTGGCTATATTGGTCGCTGATTTGTTTTTCTTTTGTTTTTGAATGTCAGAACATTCAGCTTTGATATTAATGAGTTTTTTGGGTTCATTGACAACATGGTTGTTGTTCAATAATAAAATTATTCCTCAAAAATACATCTCGCCTAATAATTCTGCACTCCCTGTATGTATATAGATCTATAGATGGATAGAGAAAGATCTCTAGAGCAGCGCTCCCCAACCTTTGTTGCTCCACGGACGGTTTAATGTCAGACAGACCGGCCTTTAAGGCAGATAAATACAACAAAATAAAATGATACGACCAAGACAACAACTGTGATGTTTTGTAAATATAACAAAAACGTAAATTCACTGTGTAACTGTGTCATTCTGTGTGCTCCACACCAACAATGCTGAGATCAAACATAAATGGGACAGCAGGAATAAATAGCAAACAGGAGAAATGTGTGCAATAAAGTTTTATACAAAACAAGACAAATGTACACAAAATAAAGACACAGGCACATATTAGATGGTGCTTGGACGTGCTCCAAGGAAAAGCCTGAATAGTCTGTGTGTGAGCGGGCTGAGTGATGAGGGTCACCATGGCTCAGACTGGTGAGGTTGGTGGTGTGTGGAGCTCTCCTGTTCTCAGCTGTGGACCAAACACCCAGGCAGTGGGAAGGCCAGCAGCAGCTCCTGGTCCTGGTGCAGGCGCTGCTGGGCTTGTTCACCAGGGCCAAGCATCATATATCTGGTTGGCGGCTGTAGTTGGAACGAATAAAATGCTTTCAGACTACTTGTGTTGGCTGCTGAATGTGTCAGTCAGTATAGTGTGTGTTTGTTGTTCAGTGGGTCTTAGTCCTGCTTTTAAATCTCTGACTCTACATGAAACTGTCAGGCAGAAGAAAAGCGTCATACTTTCAGTGCATGATGAAGAAATGCACATGAAAAATACTGTGAAAGCTATTAAAGACATAGAGTCGCTGCTGAAGCGTCCCCGGCCTTAAGTCCAGCTGTCTCAGTGCAGAGATGTTGTCTCAGAGGTTTGGAGCCCACACACACATTAAAAAAAACATGTCTTTATACTTGAATGCAAATATGATCCATCTCTGCTTCAGCTCGTCTTCAGTGTGCATAGATGTGTTCAGCACAGCAGAGGAGGAGTCTGCAGCCATCTGTCAAACCAGTCTGTGCTGGGACTCTTGTCCAAATGTGATGGAATTATGAAGGTAGAGAAGTTTGATCCACTGTGTAAGATCATGTGGAAAGAGTCTGGCTTTGTTTTTCAGTAGGACAATAATCCCAAACTGTCACGGCCTGGGGATGTGGGGAAGCAGGACCCACAATGCAGGACTCTTGCGATGAAAAGGTGTCTTTATTTACAGCAAAGTAAAATAAAAGGTAAACAATAAATCCCTGCGCGCTCCCATCTCCTGTTTCATGTCCTCGCGCCCGTGCTCCGTGTCTCTGTTCCCTGTGTACAACCTCGTTTCTGCAGATCCTCCTCAGAAACACACGAAGGCAGCCGTGAGCACCTTCAACTTCAAACAGATGCTGAGAAACTGATGGGAACGGTCCAGCGTCGAGGAGCGCTCAGCCACACCGTTAAGTAGCTCCCCGACGAGGCTGATCAGCTCCAGGTGGAAGTGGATCTCCTTGGCAGGTGTGACACACCCACCAGGCCTGAAGATGGCTGTAAGCTGGTGCTCAGCACACCCACAAACACACAGACACACTGGGATAACGTTCACTTATCACTGTGGTGTTCAGCGTGTGCTTTACCCGACAGTGTTATGAACCAGCTGTGCAGTCTGAGTGCATACGCCGGCTCTCTGTCAGCTCATATACAGACTTTTAAAAGGCTTTTATGAAGCATATAATGGCTCTGGGATCTACCTGCATAGAAACCAGTAATGAACTTCAGTTTGTGGGACTCAGTGTGCCAGCAGTTCAAAGTGCAGGCCTGGGCTTTAAGGTGGAAATCCTGAGTCTGCCTCTTGGTTAAGTGCACAGTGTAGATATTACACTATACTTGTGTTCACTGACTTCACTGTAGTCGCTTTGTTTGTGCTTTTTCATGTTTAGTCAGCATTGCATCAGTAAAGCTTCTTGATGATCATATCTGGTGTTGTTGCTGACGTGGCGATCTGCTCTGGAACCTTTCAGGCTGAGTAGACGAGCGTGCTGGGCCAGCGATCAGTGCACCTGCAGGACCTGCTCATCCATGGGAACCATGAAGCTCCTGCTGGCATAATGATCTGTTGATGCCAAAGGAGGTTTGAAACTCTGAAGTCACTGAGTCAGCAGAGTGTTGGCAGCTGTTATGCGCGGTAATATATGTGCTCTGCCACTTTGTGTGGTTACTAAGCTCTACCACTTAAATGGCAATAATAACAGCACTTACAGTGGATGGTAGAATAATGAAATGTTGCAGTCCTGACTTGTGACCATTCTCTCTGCTATGTTTCTACAGGTAGACTGCATGGCTGCAGTGTTGCAGTGGGACTGAAAACACCTGAGTGTGAAGATGTTGTCCCTGTAGTGTGCTGAAGCTTGTTTATAATGACATATGCTGTTTGGATATCTGCACTTGTTGTCCTTACCGTTGGAAATAAACCTGTGCATTAAGGCCCTGCAGTCAGTAAAGTATGTCAGTGTTCTGTGTAATGTATCACTATACTTGAATCCATTTCATTTTCATTCATAGCCTCATATAGAGAATGGCATTTACACAGACGCACTGATGCAGGGCTTTCTGTTTCTATCAGTTCAGCTCCATCATTAGTCTTTACAAACGTTACAGACACACAGAACCAAAGTCCAGGTATGTGTGGTCCACATGAGTCCAGCCTGCAGGAGAAACTGTCCCTGTAGCCAACCTAGTATGTTTGTGTAGCAGCTCACTTTGTGTCAGATGTGATCTGTGTAAAAGCTTTAAGTTGTTTTGTCCTGTGATCACTGCGTTCAGTAAAGTCTCCTGTCAGCCATCGGTGACAGTTCAGCAACCCGACCACGTTCAAAAGGGGCTTCTTAATCATATGTCATGTAAACTGAACAGTTACAGTGTTTCCTCATTTAGAGTTTAGTTAGCCTTAGTCCTCTGCAGACTGAGATTCATCCTGTCACATGTTTTTGGGTTCTCTGCAGGGATGCATGGTTCCATCTCCCAGACTCCTGCAGTCCTAAATCACTGCTTCTCTGTCAGGACTCTGCATGTGACACTCCCGGACAGGTTCAACTCAAATATACTTTTCTAAGACAAACAAATTTGGACTCCAGTTTGCTCCAGTTATTCATCAGACTTCTTTAGGAACGTTTCAGTCTGCATTTTTGTCCTAAAGAGCAAACAACGTTTTTATTTCTTGGACACTGTCCTTCACTCTGAGGGACGTTCATTTTCACTGACAGCCCCTGGACGGTGTGGATCGCTGCTGTGTGTGGATTCATGTTAGAATATCACCACGACTCTGATTTCTGATGCAGATGCTTTTATTTGCTCAGATTTTCCATCAGTCTGATGTCTTAATTTTTCTCTTAATTATTTTTCATGTGACTAATTAATGCAGACACAGCTCTAAAGGCTAACGCAGGAGTTGCCAGTGTAGTTTCATTTTGTGGCTTTCAGTTTCTACTTTCCTCTTCATCATGTGAGAAAAGCTCGTGTTAAGCATTTGTTCTTAAATGTTCATGAATATTCAAGCTGTAGTTGTCATGCTGATCAGCTTCCCAGTGAACCTTTTTAACCTGTGAGGGTTTCATGGTCGGTTTTCTAAAGAGTTCATTTGTTCTACTCAAACGAGGAAGTGCTTGGCGACGATGTGGTCAGTGTGTCAGTAGAAACTAAAAAGAAGAAGAGCCTGTTTCTGACCGCTCAGTCTTGGTGAAGTCTTCATACAGAAGGTACAGTTGCATCTTTTCAGTTTCATTTTTGCTTTTTTGTATATTGAACTCTGATAATGATAAATGAGGATTATAGTAACTTTACACTGCTAATATTAGCTCTGCTTGTATGTTGCAGTCATGGCTGCGGCGTCGGCTCTGGTGTCTGAGGACAGTCTTCTTTGTCCCGTCTGTCTGAGTGTGTTCACTAAACCTGTGTCGATTCCCTGTGGACACAACTTCTGTATGAACTGTATCACAGACTACTGGAGCACCCTGTCTGTACTCCAATGTCCACTGTGCAAAGAGACGTTTTACACCAGGCCGTTGCTTCGGGTTAACCCTGTCATTGATGAAATGGCAGAAAAGGTTAAAAAATCTCTTCAAGAAATGTTGTTGAGTTCAGCTGAACGAGCAGGACATGAAGACGTGCTCTGCAGCATCTGTGCAGGGTCAAAGGTCAGCGCCCAGAAGTCCTGTTTAATGTGTTTAGTGTCCTACTGTCAAACACATCTGGAGCCTCATCAGAGGATTTCAGCTTTGAAGAAGCACAAGCTGATCGATCCAGTTCAGGACCTGGAGAGCAGAATATGTCGGGATCACGGTGAGCCTTTGGAGCTGATCTGCAGACTGGATCAAAGGTTTCTGTGTCGGTCCTGTAAATGCAGTGACCATAAAACACATGAAACAGTGAGTCTGGAGGACGAGGCTGAAATGAGGAAATCCCAGCTGAGATTAGAAAATAACAGCATGGATCAGATGATCCAGGAGCGTGAGCAGAAAATCCAGGAGCTTCAACAGTCAGTGAAGACCAGCAGAAGTAAAGCTGAGGAGGCGTTATCGTACAGCAGGAAGGTGATGACCGCTTTGGTGCAGCACATAAAGACAGAGTTCACCAGACTGTCTGAGGCGATCGAGACGAAGCAGGAAATAAATGAGACAGAGGCAGAAAGCTTTATTGATGAGCTGCAGGCAGAGATTACACACATGAAGAAGAAGAAGCTGCAGTTTCATGAAGCTTCGCTCATCAGAGACCCCTTCAGCTTCCAGGAGAACATCCTCCCTCTTACCTACAATAAGCCCCAGCTGCAGGACTGGTCTGCTGTGACTGTAACCAGTGACCAGTTTATGATTCAGGAGACCCTGGCCGAGCTGGAGACAGCAGTCAGAGAAGAAGTCAGCACGCTCTATGATATAAACTTCAGAGATGGGAAAGAACAAAGGTATGATCTGAATGTTTTCATGGCTTGGTCCAGATTTGGGTTCTCCTTGAAACACGGTGAGGTCACTCAATCAAAATCAGTCAGTGTCTCCATCTCGACACCCCTTTTTGTACATGAACTTTTGTTTGTTCAGTAAAAATCAAAGAATAGTTTAGTCTAGGTGGATTTCTAGGTGCAGCCAAGTGGCAGAGGGCTTTCGGTCCGTCGTGGTGAAGAGCTGAGCGTAAAAGCGAAGCTCTCAATTTACTGTTCGATCTAAGTCCCTACCCTCACCTATGGTCACGAGCTGTGGGTAGTGACCGAAAGAACGAGATCGCGGATACAAGTGGCGGAAATGAGCTTCCTCCGAAGGGTGGCTGGCCTCTCCCTTAGAGATAGGGTGAGAAGTTCAGCCATCCGGGAGGGGCTCAGAGTAGAGCCGCTGCTGCTCCACATTGAAAGGAGCCTTTTTTTTGTGTTTTTCGGGCATCTGATAAGGATGCCTCCTGGGGGCCTCCTGGGTGAGGTGTCCCACCGGGAGGAGGCCCCGGGGCAGACCCAGGACACGCTGGAGAGATTATATCTCTCGGCTGGCCTGGGAACACCTTGGTGTTCCTCCGGACAAGCTAGAGGAGGTGGCTGGGGAGAGGGAGGTCTGGGCTTCTCTGCTTAGGCTGCTTCATACAACTTTCCTCTTTCACCCATTTATACAAGCACTTTGTTGTTTTTGTTACCTAAGTGCTCACTCTGATTGTAACATCGGAGAGCAACCTGGGGTTCAGCATCTTGCCCGAGGATACTTTTGGACGTCCAAATACTTCTCAGAATTATAATCCAACACATCAATTACGATGATGATGATAATAATGATGATAATCATCATGGTGAGGAGGAGGAATAGAGTCAAATCCAAGTGCAACAAGGACAGTTTGCCCTTGGTGCTGCTGCTGAAATTTCCAAGGGTGAACTTCTGCAATCCTTTGAACCTCTCTCTCTTACAGTCACTGTTCTGTGAGTGTCAGTTTGACATACCTCAGAGGTGCTCTGATTCCTCCATCCTCTCTCCATCTCATCTCCTCCAGTTCCTGGACCTTCTCTGTGTTTCCTTTCTCCTCCATCTTCCCAATCAGGAAGTCCAAGTGGACAGTAGTGGATGCTGAATCAGCTTTCAGAGCGATCTGCTCCAGTCTGACAACATGGTGGTAGGACTCATCCAGAAACTGGGACTTCTCTGCTGTCAGCAGTTTCATTTCCTTTCCAAGTAAATCAACATCCTTCTCTTTTGTTGGTGGTTCATTCTCCTGACCGCTCCTTATCCTGGTCACATATCTCCAGTTTTCTTTTACATGCACTGATGCAGCACACTTGTTGGTGCATGACGTGCAGAGACCATCTCTAAAGACCTCACAGTGATTTAAGGGCACCGTGCATCCAGGATAGTGACAGTTCTCCTCACAGACTGTACAGCTGACAGCTGCTTTCAAACCCAGCCCACACGTCTCTGATAGGTTCTTTATGTTTAAAAACTTCAGCAACAAATGGAGTGACCTCTTCATTCTTCATGTTGTCATGTTTCTCCAGAGCTTCCTGACTCTGTTTCATCTCTCTCTGTTTCACTTCAGTGAATTTGATTCTTTCTTGCAGGTTTTAGATGCAGGCTGTCAGTCTGATTCTTTCCTTTAACACTTTAAATGCTGCCTCTGGCTTTAGAGGTGTAGTTTCCTTCAGGAAGGCTGTGAACTCTCTGAGCTTCCAAAATTTAGTTTCAGGTATTTTTCTTTCTCGTCTTCAAGCTGGAGAGTTATTGAACAGGAAGTGAACAGACTGATTCTTCTCATTTTTGACACATTTAATTTTTGAATCTTCAAGATCTTGAAGGGCATATTTAGGGTTTCTTACATCTGAGTGTGTGATGAGAGCTACAAAGTTTTTCTCCACATTCAAAGATAAAGTGATATTCAAACATGGATTTATTACCCAAAGTTTGATTCTGTTCATCTGGACGTAGTGTTTTCAGTGGGAGAAACGTTTCGTCATTCATCCAGGTTTCTTCAGTCTCAGCTGACTGCAGGCTTCAATCTTATAAACAGTACATGTGCATAATGACTGAAACCAGCCCACTGAAGGAACAGTGGGCTGGGAGGTCAGCTTATGATCATTAATATGCATTTCTCATGACCACTGATCAAAGGCCATTGATCAATGGCCTGATTGGTTGACAAGATATACAGTGGCTTTCAAAAGTATTCAGCCCCCTTGAACTTTCCCACATTTTGTCACATTACAGCCACAAACATGAATCAATTTTATTGGAATTCCACGTGAGAGACCAACACAAAGTGGTGCACACGTGAGAAGTGGAACGAAAGTCATACATGATTCCAAACATTTCTTACACATAAATAACTGCAAAGTTATTTAGTCCAGCATCTCATCCCCAAACTGTGATGGGCACTTCAACCATTTCCAGCTGGAAATCATGGCCTCAGACTGAGCAGTGCTGAGTCTGAGGCCAGCCCCTTCACTACAGACAGAGGGTTACAGCTGGAGGTTATTGTTCAGTCATGGACTAACTATTTTAGTTAATGAAAAGAAGTTTAAAATCATTTTATATAGAGTCCAACTATAAAAATAAAACAAATGTAAAATATAAATAAATAAAAACAAAATAAATAAGTATAGATATGAAGTGTCACTTTTTTCTAACTTTAACATCAAATTTTTAAATCATCCCAATATTCTAATACTGACAATAAAAATGAAATTAAAACTGTATTGTTACGTTCTTAGTCTAGGCGTGTATTGAACGCAACAAGAAGTTGGCCCCACTCCCGCTCCACCCAAGCAAGAACACAAACAGTCGTATCTTTTAAAGTGCTAAGCAGCCATTTATTTGCTTCAGCAGTGAGCAGTGCCAAAAATAACAAACAAAACTCCATAATGGTCCCTATGCTTTCCTACACAAATGAAAACCAAACAAAAGACAATTCTCTTACCTAACTTTTTACATGAAAAACAGGAGAAAACTTAATCAACAAAAATGGCTTCTCACGCCTACTAGGCTGCTGCAGTGAAGGATATATACAAGGTGACCAAAATACACGATTGCTACTTGACAAAACTATTTACAGCTATTTACAAAATTGAGGTACTAATGCCACACACACATGAGGTTATACCTGCAGATCAGTTTGGCAAAGACACTCTACACAGCAACGAATCAGAAACACAGGTTCTTTGTTGGATGGTGGAGGTTAGGAGAGAGGGGGCCAGGTGGCTGTCATCCGGTAGTTAAGTACTGGAGGTGATTAGCCAATTATCCAATCCCAGGACAGGAAGAGACTCCACCCAGCTACTCAGCAGGCACGCCCAGGTGTCCACCTCCTAAGAGAGAAAAGGGAAAAAACCCACAGCCATCCTCTGGTGGGAGGACTCACACATAAAGCAAACACTGAAAACATTAGATCATAACACTTCCCCCCACCCAAAAATCAAATATCTAACCCCAAATGAAATGTTTGATTCAAGACCTAGAGAGGGCATCAGCCATGACGTTCTCTAAGCCCTTTTTGTACCGGATTTCAATGTTGAAGTCCTGGAGGAGTAGGGACCAGCGCATAAGGCGCTGGTTGCTGTTCTGCATCCGAGTTAGGAACTGGAGAGGGTTGTGGTCAGAGAACCCGACAGTTGGAACAGGACTGGACCCAAGGTACACTTCAAAGTGCTGCAAGGCTAGCAATAAGGCTAAGGCTTCCTTTTCAATTGTGCTGTAATGCAATTGGTGTTTTAGGAATTTTTTGGAAAAGAAACAGACTGGAATGTCAATGCCATTTTCATCCTCCTGCACCAGCCCCCAAAGCACTGGCGTCCACCTCAAGCTTGAGCGGACGTGCGAAATCAGGGGCGGCCAACACAGGAGCACTGCAAAGGAGAGCTTTGGCAGCTTCGAAAGCAAACTGACATGTCTCTGACCACACAAATGGTGATTTTGGACTGGCAAGACTGGTTAGTGTGGCTACTACCTCGGAGAAGTTTTTGCAGAACCCACGGTAATAACTTGCCATGCCTAGAAAACGCCGCAGCTCCCGAAGCGTCTGCGGAGCTGGGAAGTTTAATATGGCCTGCACTTTCACAGCAACAGGGAGGACTTGACCCTGTCCTACTTGTTTCCCTAGGTCGGTTACAACAGCCTTTCCAAACTCACACTTAGCCAAATTCAGTGTCAGAGAGGCATCACGCAAACGGTCAAATATTTCACTGAGAGTTCAGTCCAGGTGTATGAATAGGCCACTATATCATCCAGATACACTTCGCAGTTTATGACTCCATGTAACTCAGTGTTCATCAGTCGTTGGAATGTGGCGGGAGCATTTCTTAACCCGAACGGCATGACGGTGTATTGCAAAAAGTGGTTGGGTGTAACAAAGGCACTGATTTCTGATGCGCGTTTGGTTAATGGGACTTGCCAGTATCCTTTTAGGAGGTCGAGTTTGGTCACAAAGTTTGCCAAGCCACACGATCTACCAGGTCATCCATGCGTGGGAGTGGAAAAGAGTCTGGTTTTGTAGCAGCGTTTACCTTTCGGTAATCGTTACAGAAACGGGAGGTTTGATCGGGTTTTGGAACGAGCAATGATGGTGAGCTCCAAGAACTATTACTGGGAAGGGCAAAACCATGGTCAAGAAGATACTGGACTTCTTGCTGCATTATGGCATGCTTAGTGGGATTTACTCTGTAGGCATGTTGCTTTATTGGCTTGTGATCACCCACGTCAATATCATGACTTAGCACGTGCGTTTGAGTGGGGATATCACCAAAAAGAGTTGGGTAGTTGTTAATGAGCTCTCGGACATCAGATTTGGCAGGATCAGACAGATGTGCTAAATAGACATCCAAGTCAGCCAGACGTGCACCGGAAACAGAGCTGTGCCTATCATCCAACCCATCATCGCAGGGACTATATAAGGGTTGAGAGACGGACACTGACACAATAGGTGACACAGCAGGTGACGGACCGGAGGGAGAAGGGTAGCAGCAGCTGTGGCTCACCCAGATGATGTCATGCCAATCCAATCAAAGGTTGAGAGAAAATAAAAGTCTAATAAAAAGAATCAGAGTGACCACTAATGCTTTGGGAGAGCAGACAGACAAAAATAAGAATCTAATTGGAAAAAAGAAAAAACAAAAAGGTTTAATTTTATGTGACCTTTGACCCTGAGCAGAAAAGGATCAGCTCAGGTTTCAGTGTTAAACAGGAACCTGTTCATAATGTTTACATGTTTGCTGAAGACTTTCTATGCTTTTCTGTGCAGGATCAGTTTGATCTCATCACCACATGAAGACATCGTCTCAGACAGTTTTCTCATCAGGTCAGGACCTCCTGCTGTCTACCAGCTGAGACCGAAGAAACAGAAGACTGGAACTCTGGCAAGAATGACTGTTGGAGAAAAACGTCCAAACAAGCCGAACAGAACCATCTTACTGGTGGGAGAAACAGGAGCAGGAAAATCTACTCTGATCAACGCTCTGCTCAACTACACCATGGGAGTGAAGTGGGAGGATGAAGTCTGGTTTATGATCGCAGAGGAGGAGAGAAGAAGTCAGACATCAGATGTGATGGTGTACGAGATCTTTGGTTTTGAAGATAAAACTCTGCCCTACTCTCTGACCATCATCAATACTCCTGGATATGGAGACACCAGAGGGATTGAACATGATGACATCATCAGTCACAGATTATTGGACCTGTTTCAATCAGAGGATGGGGTCCATGAAGTTCATGCAGTGGGTCTGGTGATGAAGGCGAGTGTGAATCGACTGAGTGAGCCATTGAGGTACGTCTTTGATTCAGTGATGTCTCTGTTTGGAAAGAACTTGGAGAAAAACATCATAGCTCTGATCACACACTCAGATGGAAGCAGACCTGAAAACCCTCTTCAAGTTCTTGAAGCTGCAAACATTAAATGTGCCAAAAATGAGGACAGTCAGCCTGTCCACTTCCTGTTTAATAACTGCCAGCTTGAAGAGCGAATGGAGGAAAACACAATTTTTAGAAATTCATGGGAACTTACACAGACAAACATGGATCATTTGACAAACTTGTTGGGAAAATCTAATCCTCAGAAACTGGTGAAAACAGCCGAAGTGTTAAATGAACGAATCAGACTGAAAGCCTGCATCCAAAACCTGGAAGACAGATTCGAGCTGGCTGAACTGAAACAGACAGAAATCAGACAGATCCGAGAAGCTCTGAAGCAGACGAATCACAGAAAGAAAATGGAAATTGAGAAATTATTGAGTCTTTTGGAAAATCTTGAAAAGGAAATGAAAGTGCTGACAGCAGAAAAGGAAAAGTGGCTAAGTGACTCCTACCAGCATGCTGTCAGACTGGAGGAAATCGCTCTGAAAGCTGATTCAGCATCCACTGTTGCCCACTTGGACTTCCTGATTGAGAAGATGAAGGAGGAAGGAGACACGGAGAAGGTCCAGAAACTGGAGGAGATGAGGAGAGAGGATGGAGGAACCAAAGAAGCAGTGCAAGCTTAAACGAACACCATCACCAACATTGGGAGACTCTTCCTCTGGCATACGTGAAACATGTAAAGAAGCATCAGGCAGATGGTACTGATGCTGCTACATGTTCAGATGTACACAGATGTTGATTGTTGATGTGGACATGAGGGCCTCCTTCTAAGACGGGAACATCATGTATGCTTTCATATTTTATCCAGTTAAAAATATCAATTCTCGTGTTAAAAAATACTTATTATTAATATACATGTATTTCACACAGATATTTGTACTTATGCACATGACAAATATTACTACATAAACTCCACAGTCAGTTATTATGCAGAGCAGAGCTGCCAGCTGTGCTGTAAATGCAGCGAGGGCGCCCCCTGCTGTTTAACGATCAGTACAACAGTGTGTGAGAACAGCTCCCTGCTCCTCTGACGTCACAAACTAAACTCTGTGTTCTCCACAAATACATGTGTTTCTGTCACGTTGTTCTAATGTTGTTCTAATGTTGTTCTAAGGTTGTCAGTGTGAGCTTTATCCTGCTGCTCCTCTCATGCTGACTCAGTAAACTGGTTGTGGGACAGTAACGTGTCACTGACACGATCCAGAGACAGTCCAACATGTTGTTGTCTTTCAGTGAGTGCAGAGGATGTCATTGACACGATGCCTCGATTGCTTCTTCATGTGTTCATGCTGGATATTTGTGATGGCTCAGGCCGAGCGGAAACATTTGGATCCTTTCATGTTGGACTTGATCTGTTCAGATTCTCTATGTTCGGGTCTTCCACATGAATCGTCTCCTGCTCGATGCACTTTTCTGTCAATCCTCAATAAAATCTGCTTCATTCAGTCACTTTGCTCAGAGAGTCTTTACTGGATCATCAGCTGATTTTCTTTGTTTCTCTTTGTTCCTCAAACACTTTCAGTTTATTGCGAGCAGCAGCTCTCACACACACTCAGCAAACACACACAAAGCTCCATCACAGCTGAGATTTCATTCAGTTATCAGGAAGAACCTGTGTCTTCTGGAGGAAGCAAGCCCCTAAAATGCTCTTTACATTCCTGTAATTAGTGATACAGTTCCACTGTAACAACAGTATAATCATCTATTTATATTTATTTATTCATCATTAAAACATTAGTATTATAATACATTATACATTATAATACAGTAACACTCATCATGACAACAGCAGCATATCCTCACATGTAATTATTAGAGATGGACCGATCCGATATTACGTATCGGTATCGGTCCGATACTGACCTAAATTACTGGATCGGATATCGGAGAAAAATAAAAAATGTAATCCGATCCATTAAATATCACGAAAGCACCTCACAAAACTTGCAACACGCCGTAACTCACCTCAGAACGTTAGCACGTCGGAGCAGTATGCATCACGTGATAGAGCGGCTGTGGCATGCGGGACCTGTCGGTGGTCTGGATAGCATTTGGAGCTTCGCTAGCAACCCGGCATTTCATCTCCGACAAAGTTATCCCCGAGAGAAGTAAAGCAAGTGTGTAAGTCCATCTCTGAATGTTTGTAAAGCATTCCTGCGTTAAGCTTAACAAGCGATATATGGAGCGACTGCCTCTCTCCCTCTCTCTCCTGCTTCAATCATGAAACTGATCAATGATCAGCTGATCGGCTTTTCTGTCTCGAGTCCGTGTCTCTCCTTTGTTTTTGGCCCACTTTGCACCAGACAGAGGAAACCAGCGGCTGAACAACAGCAGCACGTTTAAGCTTGATAAGCTATTGTTAGAATGTATTTAATATTACTTTCTACTCCAGGATCTTTTTCTACAGCTGACGGCTGGTAACTGTGCAGGGGAGGATCTAGCAAAGTTTAGCCAGGGGGCCGATAGGGCATTAACAGGGAAAAGGGGCACAAAGACATACTTTTCTTTCTTATTCTCATTTAAAATGTCTCGCTTTTAATCAATAATTATCTGACACCCAAAGTTTTAATTTGATGTAAAATGAATAGAAGTCCATTACTGTATATAGTGACTATTAAGTCTAATATACCCTAGTAAGCTATAGTACTTTTTCCTTTGGGAAGGTACCATCTGTGCAGTCTGCAATTTTGTTGAAGAAAGATGTTGAATCTATTTAATATTTCTTGAAAAATAATTGATTTCTGTGCATTTTTTTCACACTGCATCAAATTAAGGTTGATTACGTCGATTAAGCATCATGAGGTGGAGCGTGAGGGGTGGTTCCCTATTTTTTATTTATTTATTTTTGTTGTTGCTGGGAGTTGGAACCCTATTAGTTAGGTTGCTTAATATTTATGCTAAGTACTCTTTAAAATACCAGAATAGGGAGGATGGTGTAGGTTTAAGTTTATAGATTGATCAGTATTGCTGAACTATGAAATTTTTTTTTTGCATACAGGTATAACAGAATAGCTTTAGTGTAGTTGTTGTTTTAAACTTGAGTATGAACTTGCAAAATGCAGCAAGATATTTTTAAAAACACTTTTGTTGATTAAAAAACACTATATCGGATTCATATCGGTATCGGCAGATATCCAAATTTATGATATCGGTATCGGACATAAAAAAGTGGTATCGTGCCATCTCTAGTAATTATTAGTCTCTGCACTATGATGTATGTTTTTCTTCCACATTATAAACATTCGAGACCGTCTGAGCATTGAGTGTTCACGCTGTATGAAGCCTGCAGGTAAAAATACACCAGTCTGCTCATGAAACATCCAAAACCTGGATTTTTAACCAGAGTGAGATCCACGAGTATCAATTCTAACAAAAATAGACTGTTTGTGAGAGAGACTCACCTGGTCTCTGATTGTAAAGCATTCAGCTCCATCTTGGTTCATTTTTCAAGTCAAGTTGCTTTACTGTCATTTCAACCACGTACAGTGGTGCAGTACACAGTGAAATGAGGTGACGTTCCTCCGTACCAGGGTGCTACATATGACACACAATCAACACAGGACTACATAAAGTGCAAGTGTGTAGAAGTTGCAAAAAAACAAACAAAGACAGTGAAACACCAGACAGAACAGAAAATACAGACACAACACTGCAACAGAAAAGTGCAACAATGACAGCGGCTTCTGCAGAAGACTGAGCATTGTGGAAAAGTACCTTGGTGTATGAAGGTGTGCATGTGTTTGTGTCCAGTCACTGAGTGTTCAGGAGTCTGACGGCTTAGGGGAAGAAACTGAACGGTAGTCTGGTCGTGAGGGCCCGGATGCTCCAGTACCTCTTTCCAGAAAGCAGTAGGATGAAGAGTATGTGTGAGGGGTGTCTGATACGGTGCAGTTACCATACCAGACGGTGATAGTGGGAAGGTTGTTCCACAAATTAGGCGCAACCAGGGCAAATGCACGCTCACCTCTGGTCTTAGGCCGAGATCTAGGCTGTACCAAGAGTAATTGGGCTGATGATGTGAGGGCTCTCCCAGGGGTGTATGGTCTAAGGAGCTCAACAAGATAGCTAGACACTGTATGGTTTATGATTTTAAAGGTGAGCAGCAATACTTTCATTAAACTTGGTATTTGATAGGGAGGCAGTGCAAATCAGCAAGGACAGGGGTGAAAGAGGCAAACCTGCCGGTTGCAGTCAGAAGGTGTGCCGCAGTACAGCTGATTATTAACTGGAGTACAGCTGCTTATGTTTAGCATTCACTCTGAGGAGAAGAGAGGGTTAAGGGTTATATCAAAAAAATGTAATACTTTTAAACCAACTTTAATTAAATTAACGTAAAACTGGAATAATCCAGAGAATATCCATTTTTGAATTTAGAAGGTGAAAAGCTTAAAAATAGGATTTAAGAAGAGGAAGCACAAGGAAATTAATTCAAAATGCACAAAACATGAGACGAATGAAAATTGGAAAGGGAATAAAGAAACATGCAGACTGAGAGGGAGGTTTAAAAGGAGTCAGTGGCTCGTTTCAGCCCTCACCTGTCAGCAGACAGCAGCAGCCGCCCTCTGTCTAGTTCAGACAATAGTTGAACTAAATTGTTTCCACTTTTGTTTGTTTTTCACTCTTTTTAGTATTTTTTCATTTGTTTTTAAAAAAGTATTATTACTTACACAACAATGGGTGTTTGTGTGTTATCTTTACAGATTATTATGTGAAACTCAGCTGGTAGTGAAGAAAATAGACCTGAACTGCACGTTTGATTGACTTATTGAGGAAGACGGTGCCTTCAGGAGCATCCGGGAAAATCCATATTTAAGCACTGAGTCTACCTCAGAGTTTAATGGAACATTTACATTTTAAAGAAGCATCAGGAACAGCGACAGCATGCAGCCAGCGTCAGTGCGCAGAACCGATTATTGATCAACACAACATCTGTCACGCATCCACTCTTTAACAGTCATTTACCCAGCATTCATTGGACATGAACAACCCTTGTTCTATTTCAAGGTTACTAACACATCACAGTCACCATGGTAACAGTTAGTTTCTATACAACTGTACAAACATCAGACAGTGTGAGGGACAAATTCCACTAGTCAAACAGAAGCGATGTCAGCGACCAATCAAAGAGGACTTCCAGTTAAATCAGGAAGTAGAAATTGGCGCCCATGATGATGATTGGTTTGTGCACTCAGACTTTACAGCCTTCGGGAGGCTGAAGATCTCCAGGGTTCAGATGTCTTTGAGAGGGTCTCATCAGCTGATGACACTGTGTGTGTTGTCACTTCTTCATCTTGTTCTGTCGGTCCAGAAACTTTTGTCGTCTGTCGACTGGAATCTCATCCAGGCTGATTCCATGGTTGCTGGCCCTGACAGAGAGACAGGTGGAGAGCGAGTTTCAGTTTAATGATTACTTTATTGGTAATCGATAATGACCGCTGTGTGTTCTTACCCTCCGGCGAGGTCTGGAGGAACAGGAAGAGGTTTATTAAAATCTTCTCGACCCATCAGCCAGTACGTGTCCTCTGTGCCCTTAACCTGCAACACAAGCATCCAAACATCAACGAGTCCCACCACGGACTGGCATCAGGCTGACTAACTGTGGACAGGGTGGGATCTGGACCAGACTCTGAACCTGTCAGACTGGACTACAGTAAACCTGAGGGTAATAACCTGACCTCTGAGATAAGGTTTTATAAACCATCCATTCTCTTTCATCCTCATCAGGGTCGCAGGGGTGGGGCAGGGTACACACCGGACAGGTCGCCAGCCTGATTCAAGGCTAAGCTTCGTGGTCACACCTATGACCAGTTTAGATTCTCCAATTAACATAACCTCACTAATTGCATGTCTTTGGACTGTGGGAAGCCACAGTACCCAGTACACAGAAAGGCCCTGGCAGGGGGTGGGATCGAACTCAAGACCTTCTTTATGTGAAGCAACAGTGCTAATACCCGAGCCAGCGTGCTGCCTTTATCACCATTTTGCGTGTTTTCTAACAGCATCCACAGCTACTGCGTCATGCAATTATATTTGGATTTGCTTCAGGTCTGTTTAGATTGGCATACCTGTGCCTTCCGGGTGTCTATGTGGTATCCCACTTTCAGACTGGTCAGGACTTTGACCGTACTCAGACTGATGTGGATCCTGTAAGCTGCAGACCACAAACACATCGTCACACCGCAACTCAGGAGGAAGCTAGTGATTCTGACATAATTTAAATGCAGACAGGAGAGACTTCAGGGTGGTCTCTCAGTGATCCAACCATTGATCAAAGATTTTACTTACGTAGCCCGGAGGACTCCATGAGTGAGGCCGTGGTCACCGTGTCTCCAAAGAGACAGTACCTGGGCATCTTGAGTCCAACCACACCTGCTACCACGGGACCTGAAGACAGGAAGGGCCAGACCTTTACCTGGCACTAACACCATAGACAGCCTCAGGAACCATTATTACCATACTTTAATCAGAGATGTAGGGTTACATTCAAACTAGCTGGGAACACAAATACACTACCAGTCAAAGGTTTGGACACGCCTTCTCATTTAGTGGTTTTTCTTTATTTTTACTACTTTTGATACAAACTCAAGACCTCATATATATGAAGCACGACGTATGGAATTATGTAGCAAAGAAAAAATTGATTAACAAGTTTAAATATGCCAGGAAAGTTGATTATGTTCAGCTGGATGCAGGATGTAGTTTTCAGTGTGAGAAATGCTTTGTCACTTCTTCAGTCTCAGCTTTCTCCAACCTTATAAACAGTACATCTGCACAGTAACTGAAACCAGCATGAGTGAACAATGACCCAGTTGTGTTCTGTACATGTTTATTCCTCAATGCACATCACCAACAGACCCCAGTCAGGAACCAGTCCCATTTTTAAGTTGGCGGGGCAAGATTGCCGATGCCGTGCAGGTGTGTCCACCTTCCCTGCACAGCACCGCAGGCCACGCCCCACCAAATACCCCCATCGCCCGACTGAGGCTGGGGAGCCACCCGGCTGGCACAGCTCCCCGTGCGGCGCCTCTGCCTCCAGCAGGCACAGCCCCTCTCGCCCCTCGTCCACCTCTGGCTTATGAGGCTCCTCCACCACTCCTGGCTGGAACAGCCCTTCCTGGAGCAGCTCCTCTTCCTCCAGTCGGTGTGGACCCTTGCGCCCCTCATCTGCCATCTCCGGTTGGAGCAGCTCCTCCACCGCTCCTGGCAGGAGCAGCCCACATGACAATGTGAATATTAATGATCAAGGAACTGACCTCCCAGCCCAGTGTTCCTTCAGTGGACTGGTTTCAGTCATTATGCAAATGCAAAGGTCGGAAACCTGCAGTCAGCTGAGACTGAAGAAGTCACCTGATGATGATGAAACGTTTCTCCCACTGAGAACGTTCAGATGAACTGAATCAACTCTTTTGGATTTACTCACCTGGATGATTGAGGGTACAGCAAAACAACACTGAATATGTTTTATAGTTTAGATTCCTGTAAGTAGCTGCCCTTTGCTTTGTTGACAGCGCTGCAAACCCTTATCCTGCTCCATGAGCTTCATGATGTAGTCACCTGAAATGGTTTCACCTCACAGGTGAGCCTGTCAGGGTTCATTGGTTATAATAATAATAATAATGGATTGCATTTATATAGCGCTTTTCAAGGCACCCAAAGTGCTTTACAATCTCACATTCACACACTGGTGGAGGAAGCTACAGGTGTAGCCACAGCTGCCCTGGGGCAGACTAACAGCAGCGAGGCTGCCATATCGCGCCATCGGCCCCTCACACAACAACCAGGACAGAGAGCCCGGGGATCGAACCGGCGACCTTCCGGTTAAGGATTGCGCATCCCAACCCCCAGCACCATGGTCGCCCCCGAATTAAGAATGGTTCTTGCATTCTTAATGGGGTTGGGACCATCAGTTGTGTTGTGCAGAAATCAGGTTGGTACACAGCTGACAGACATATTTGACAACTGTTATAATTCATATTATGGCAAAAACCAATCAGCTAAATAAAGAGAAACAACAGTCCATCATTACTTCAGTCATGGTTTTCCTCTTTTTAGTGAGCCAAGCCTAAAAAGACCCAGAATTCCCATCAGCAGTGTTGTGTGGGCTGGAGGCCTTGTTTGCTTCCATTTAGTCTGCTGCTGCCAATCTCCTTTCAGAACCTAGAGGCTCAGTGAGTACGACTCGGAGTAGCCTCGTGGTGATTCTCACTGGGAGGCCCGAGACCCGAACATTGTAAATATTACACTTGGGGCCAGTAGGGTGGATCCCTTCATTAGGATAGAGGGACACACGTCCAGGTTACACAGTAATCAAAGCAAAGTCTGGATATTACGAAGAATCTAAAATATAAAACAAACAACGTGTTTTGAGTTATTTCACACTTTTTGATTTACTACATAATTCAACACGTGTTCATTATTAGTTGATGCCTTCAGCAAGAATCTAAAAAGAAAAACCATTAAACTGTTTTGTCCAAAACTGGTACTGTAATCCAGTCTGACTGGTTCAAATATCATTCCTATCCTTGTGGTCTGAGCACCAGCTGCTGATGAGGCAGGACCTTGAGCCAACCCTGAGGTCTCCCAAAACAGTTCTGTCAACAGACACTTCTACTCACTACTCCTGACATTTCTAAATCTTTCAGCAGTTGCCCACAGAAGTCGAGCTTCACTAATCTCATCCACACGTGTCCACAGTAAGAGTGACTTACACCTGAGACACATTGAACATACTCTGGATTCTTCAGATGAGGAAAGCTGATAGTATAGTAGTTACACTGATAAATGAACCCTCTCCTGACGTCCCGGTACTGAATGAGCAGATAACGGTGGACAGGTGTACCTGAGTGCAGTCCGATGCGGATTTTGACTTTAATCTCGGGCATGTGTTTGATCTTAAAGTTTCCTATCGAGTGCAGGATGTCCAGAGACATGTTGGCCACTTCAGCTGCGTGTCGATTCCCATTCCTGTTGGGAACACCTGAAGCCACCATGTAGGCATCTCCAATAGTTTCCACCTATAACAAAACCAGAACCAAATTTCATGTGTCTTTGTTCAGATAATCCAGAAATGAAGAGAAATCTTCACTGTTTAGGTCAGACACGTGTTTTAAATGGAAGTGTGTTACCTTGTACACATCATGGAGAGCAATGATGGCATCAAACATGGTGTAGAGGTCATTCAGCAGGTCGACCACCTACACACACACGGGTTTAGTGAAACACTGAAAAATGAAATGCACAAAAACAAGTTCAAACAGTTTGTACCTCGATGGGCTCGCTCAGAGCAGAAATAGTTGTAAATCCAACAATGTCGCTGAAGTAAAGGGTGCAGTCCGAATAATGTTCAGGTTCCACTGGCTTCCCTTTCTTCAGAGCTTGAGCCACAGACCTGGAACAAATGGGAACTCGCAAAGTAAGAATTTCATTGCTTAGTGTAACCATGCCGCAAACAGCCAAAATACAGGCCAGAAGTTTAACATGGCTCTCCAGTTCATCCTTCAAACCCAGGACTCCGCAGGAACCAATAATGGATTCCAGTTTAGCTCCACTTTTAACGCCATCATCATCCTGGTCTGCCAAAGAACAAATCCTCCTGCCTAAATGTACTCCTCTTGCAGGGGGATCATAGACTTGCTGCCTGACAGCGAAACAGCCTGGAAGATAACCAGTGCTGACAGTCCAGGAGACAGGAACGTGATTACCATGCTCAACCTGCTATGTTTTGGCTGAATGGGGATGAATCCAACTACGGTTGAAAGAGTCACTATCTGGTGACCTGGTGTCAGAATCTGCCCCCAGTGGAGTTGAAAACCTTGGCACCAACCATATCAATGATCCTGTCTGATTCCAGTAAGACAGGGCTACCTTTCAGCCTCCCAGCAGCTAAATCTCACAGGTCCTCAGAGAGCTAAACAAGCTCAAATCAAAAGAGCACAACAGAGGACGAACTTCCTGTGATACAGGAACAAGTTAAACTCACCAAAGATAATGTTGGGGCATTCCTCCAAATGCACAATGCAGCTCATCATTCATAGCCTGAGGAGTGATTGGCTGCAGCATGCCCTCTCATTAGCACCTGTGCAACTCCACAACCCCGAGCCAGGCTAAACCCTCCCAGCATGGCCACTCCTCTCTCGGGAGTCGGCGTCCCATCAGGACCAAAGTCTGCATCATGAGGACCTTTCATTCTTGTCTGCAGCGAACTTCATTAACGAGGCCCAACGACACAGTTCTATTCTCAAGGACTCTTATCCACCCACCCATCAGAGACTCTGACCACACCTCCAGTTCACATTACTGCTAATTATTACTAGTAATTTACTGTTTTAGTCTTACTTTGGCAGAAGCTGCCCCACCAGCTTATCTGTCTTGGTTCTCTCAATCTCCAATTCATCCGTTCGTTCTCGGATCAGATCCTCCAGGTTTGAGCTGTACTGCTCCAACATCCGCAGCATGGAGTCGATGATGTTGGCCCTCCTGCCTCTGCTGATACCTCGAAACTGCAAACAGATTGTCGAAGGAGTCGAGATGAAATCAGAAAATAACCCCGAGCCTGTAGAAGGCAGCAGGTGGCAGCAGTGAGACTCGGCTCACCTGTTTGAAAATGTCATCAAAGCTCGGCCTCTTACTCGGGTCTTCATTCCAACATTCATTCATCAGCGTGAGACACTCGGTAGGAGCTTCATCGACCGAAACGATCGGTCTGCAGAGAGGAGGAGGCTGCTTCAGACGCTCCACGATCTCTGGGAGACAAACAGGTGATAAGAGACAGACGGTTTATAAGAGACACAGCTGATCAGACATCCTCCCTCACCATGAGCCGGCATGTCCATCATGGCATATGGCAGTGTGCGGGAGATCACTTCCTGTATGATGATGGAGAAGCTGAAGACATCTCCAGCAAACGAACCTCCTGAGACTGGATTCCTCAAAAGCTCCGGAGCTGTCCACAGCATGTCTGAGAGACAGGAAGAGAAACACAGCTGCCTTTAGACAGCTGCAGTTTTTATTGGAACAGGTTTGTGTTGTGTTCATGATTAGGGTTAATGTTAGGGTTAGGATGGAGAGTCTTAATATGCCCTCTGACATAAACACACGTGTAAGCAGAGATACAGCGTCTGAGATAAACTTCAAACATCTGAACGTGCTCATGTTTCTACCGTGTGGATCCTCAGGAATGCTGATCCCCTGGGATGTCAGGATCATAGGAAGTCCATAATCTGTTATTTTCAGAACAAAGCGACCATCAACTAAACAGTTTGTTGACTTCAGACGGCCATGAGTCAAACCTCGCAGATGAAGGTACTTCATGCCCTGAAACAAACACAAATATCAGTAACCTGATCGGTCTGATCAGAAATGAAACAGTCTTCAAAGAGAACATAGATAAAGTCGAATAGAGCTGCATAATTAATTGACTTAGAAGTCGAGTCGTGAAACCTGAGCTTTATCAGACTAGTTCATAGATCCTTCATTAGGACAGCAGTGCTTTATCATGGCACTATTAATAATAAGGAGCAGAGTACTAGTGTGAGTAATGCTCACAGCACCAGTTGTTGTATAAGTAGCAGCATTGTACAAACAGTGATTATCTAATGAACTCACTTCTTTCGTTTCATCCCCCGACCACCACTACTCACAGCAAATATAAGTGAACACCAGGGACAGGGGGTTCGGCAGTACCTTGATGAGGTCCATGAGCAGTGAGGATTTAAACATCCAGTCCAGCCTCACGTTGCCGTCAGCCAGCAGGTCTGCCAGACTTCCTCGGGGGCAGTGTTCCACCACCAGGGCGAAGATCCCCGAGTCCACAAACAGACCCAGGCACAGGTTTAGGTTCTCGTGTCGCATCTCCCGCAACTGAACACCAGGCAGAAAATACTCTTAATACTGCAATACTGTTAATCTGTTTCACGTACAGATGGTAGCGCCATACAACAGAACAGAAAACCGGACACGGAAACAAATAGAATCTGTGTCTGTTGTGTTTCTATTGTAGATTTTCTGCTCATCATACCTGGCTGAACATATTCTGGGTGGTTTGATTGGCTTCTGTTGGTGTTTTTCCAGTACTGAACTTCTTCAGCCAAACCCAGTCACCCTGAAAACAGCACAGCCAATCAGGGAATGTGACAGGACAGGTAGGCTCACACAGGTGCAGGTAATACCTCCAGTATCCCGATGTTGGAGCTCTCCGGTGTTGTGAGGATATAACTTCGAGCGAGCGATCGCAATGGAGTTTTCATTTCCAAAAGACTCTTCATGATGGACTCATCGTTGAGTTTCTATGGAAACAACAACAATCTGACCAAAGGTAGCTCACTGATCAACTTATTGATCAGCCCATTGATCAGCTCATTAGTCAAACATGCCTCGCTGTTAGTACTCCCGCTGCTCCCGGTTTTCTACAGAACTACAGATGCACCAGTACCAGCAATGGTACCAGATTGAACAGAAGTTACCACCAGTAAACATTCTCTGACCTTCCTGCTGACTTGAGTATCGATGAAGACGATGTCGTCCAGAGTAAGGATCATTTTGGTTGCTGTCACGGCTCCCTTAGTACTCCTGTCCAGAGACACGTGAGAAAAGAAAGGTGCACAGTTCTGCAGCACTATATACATACGAACAGTCCCAATTCAAACAATATAAGATATGCACATATCATGACAACATAAGTAGTGTTATATATTTACAGTGTGGGTCATTGCACTTAAATTAAGTGTTACACAGTGGTGATGGTCGATTGTGTATGGAGGGAAGTCCTTGGACTGGGGGGTGAAACTATGTCGTCAGTGAGTTCAGGGTGGTTATGGCTTTTTTGTTTGTTTGTTTGTTTGTTTGTTTGTTTGTTTGTTTGTTTGTTTGTTTGTTTGTTTGTTTGTTTGTTTGTTTTAACTAAGCAGCAGAAATCCAAGAAGCTTGGAAAGAAAAACTTCTGGACTTCTTCAAGTTTCTTAAAGAGGCTCTGTCTGAGAAACCTTCCTTAGCTCTAAGACTATATAGTGGAGAGTCCTGGGTATTTAAGCCCTAGTGGGAGTGGCCTCTTAAAAGGGTCACTGGCCCACTCTTGATCATGGCCTCATTACATGAGCCAAGGTGGGTGTGAGTCATTATAAGCAGAGGTTTTGGGTGAACCCATTGTGAGACCTTAAGGCGCCTGGGAAGCATCAGAGACGGGATTACAGATGGCCGACAGTTGGTGTGATAAGCCCCGCCCTCTGTTCAAAGATGGTCATTCGCAGTGGACATAGATGGCTTCTTTCACTCCTCTTTCAAATCATCCATCTTCTCTCTATTACAGTCAACTTTAATGTTGAGATTTCGATTCTCCTCAATGTGCACGGCACAGTCCAGAAACAGCAAACTGTTAGGTGGCATACACGTGTCTGCACCAGTGGCGAGGTGCTGCCAAGAGTCAGACTTTCTACTTCCTCCATGTAAAGGTTGGCTACGTCTGCTAAAAATGACCCTCACTCTGTCTCATACCTCGTAATGATGGGATTTCCGGCTCTTTTTAGAGAACTGGCTCTTTCGGCTCCGAACCGGCTCTTCAGGTTGTTTTGTTGCTTTAATTAATTTATTATTAACAACAATATAAAATTATGCACAAAAGGAATTACTAATGTAAAAAAAATGTGGTTTTATTTATATGTTTATATATAAATATATGTGGTGGCCCCTAGAGACAAAACACGTACAAACTCCAAAACACATTTCTAGCATGAACTGAACTTCCAAAGCAGAGCTACTAGATCACTTAAATTACACAATTGAAAGCATGTGTGTATTGTTTGTGTATTTATACACATGCATTCATATATATTCAAATAATTTAAACAAAAGTTCATTTACCTGCTACTACCACACACCAAATCCGGTCGTTGGTACTTCCTGGCTTGTGTAGCCACTAGGTAACAAAAGCTCAACACTGCCCCCAGCATCCTGGAGCACTTCTGTTGTCTTTTGTACGTGTTTTGTCTGTAGGGGCCACCGTAAATATACTTTTATTTATTCACATAAAATGTAATAAATAAATCATATAATAGAAAAACCAATTACTTACAGTTCAACTTTTAACTATTTAAATTTTCAGCTTTTTCCTTTTAAACAAATTTAAAGTGAAACAACACAAAACACTGCAAACCACAACACAATTAAATATAAATGAAAATATGAAACAAAAAGAAGATGCACGTTCTCTGCATGAATAAACTTTCTGAATCCTTTATCATCTGCAACCGAAAATAGTTGTGGATGATTACTATACCTTTCTAATGTGACGTTGTTGTCCCTGCTCTCTCTTTCTCTCTCTCCCGCTCTGTTCCTGTGCTACTGAGTGTAACTACCGCCCCTCCCCCCTCTGCTCAGTGCAAAGCACAAGGCTCGCGTGCGGAGTGAAGCGGGAAAAAGTGCGAGAGAGAGGGTGAGAGAAAGAAAAAAATCCCACGGCTCGCAATAAGGAGCCGGCTCGTGTCGTTCACTTCAAAGAGTCGGCTCTAAGAGCCGTTTCGTTCACGACTGACACATCACTAATACCTCGGCTCATGTGATGAGTCACATGATGAACAATGGGTCAACGACCCTCTCCAGGGACAACTCCCACTAGGGCTTAAAGCCTCGGTCATTCCACCATTTGGTGTTAGAGCTCAAGAAGCTTTGCCTATGAAATGTCTTCACAAAACTTAAAGAAGTCGAGACGTTTTTCTTTCCAAGCTTCTTAGACTACCATGATGACTGAGAACCAGACTGAAAGCAGAATAAGCACCAGGTACGTTAGAGAGGAGTGTGTGAGATTAAGCCTGTGTGTTAACCTGTTCCAAAAGAAAAGGCCTCCAAGCAGAGTGCAGAGCAACAGGAAGAGGAAGAGCACAGTTACAGCGCCCATACCTGCAGGGAGTGGAGAGGTTAACTTCCACATTTATAGCCATGCCAGACAGCAACCTTTTGTCAACATGAACACTAAATCACGACACATACAGAAACTACAGGTGTAATTAAGACCTCATTTGAACTGAATTATTAATTTATTAACTTTATTCTAAATGTCTGTGAAGTCTCTTAGTCATCCAGGTCATCATGGTCTAAGGAGCTTGGGAAGAAAAGCGTCTGTGGGAGTGTCCCTTAAGAGGGTTGTTGACCCATTATTGATCCTCTAATTCAGGGGTCTCAAACTCCAGGCCTCGAGGTCCTGCAGGTTTTAGCTCTCACCCTGGGTCATCAGGGTCAAATGATTAGTTCTTTACCTCTTTGCCTCTGGAGAACTTCAGAGTCAAAGGTTCTGGTCCATGTGTGTCGGTTTCCGGTAAACTTCAGTGTTGAGGTTTCTATTCTTCTCAGTGTACACTGAAAATCTTTCCAAGCTCCTTAGAGAACTTTATGCAAACACTTAACGACGGGATAGATGTGATTATGTTGTATTAAGTGGTGAAAAACAATTATTAAAACTCTTTTGTGTTTGTGGACACAGAGACTCAATTAGTCTGTCTAACTTAATCAGAACGAACTGTTCCCAGATCAGAGTCATCTGACACTAGAAGGTTCAGTCACGAGTAACTCTTCACTGCCACAAAACAAAACTTGAGTTTTAGGTCATAGTTTTAAAAACCGTGAAGTGTGCCTTGTTGTAGTTTTTGCCTCTCTCCCTCTGAGTGTCACGAGTCTATCTGATCTGGAGCAGTTTGTTGAAGGAAACGAGGAGAACGTCTTTTATCTCAGCTTTGATACTGAAAGCAGCAACTAGTTAGTTACTCAGCTAGCGAGTGCTGAAATCTGTGTGACCTGATTGAAACCCTGAAAATCAAAGCCTCCATCTGATTTCATGAGCTGATTGCCCGTCACCCAGTGTCCACTCCCTGCCTGACGGCGCTCTTCCACTGCCTTTGCCACGAAGTAGACCATGTTGAAAATAGTCCCAAACAAAGGAGACACCTGCAGACACAGGACAACACTTTGTCACATTAGATTCTCTCGTTTACTCGGGACGTACACATTGTTTACACGTTATTTACTTGTTTACCTCTGAATCCATCAGCACATTAAAGCCCGTGTTTGTTGTTGTTTGTTTGTTTACCTCTGTGGCGGAGACACCCGAGTGAATCTCTCGGCTCATTTGAGCCTCGCGGAAAGCTTCATAGAAACTCTGGTCGGATGCCATGGTAACAGTCAGGACGGCACTATAGGCGTGACGTAGCTGCGTGCTATTGGTCAGCTGGTTGAAGACTGTGTGCTGATTGGATAAAACAGAGAGGGAGGGAACCAATCAGAACTCAGCCTTTAGTTAAACATGTCATGATTAATATGTAAAGGCAGTGGGGTGGTGTATGGGTGGTAAATAAGAAAAGTTTGCTTGACTCAGTTTTTTTTTTGAGGATCGGAGAAAATGGAATAAAACCTCCTTGAGAACTTGTTGGTCGTTACCTGATAGGGCATCGCGTACAGCAGGGCGTCGTAGGGAATGAACACGTAACCATTGGAAACCATCCCCATCTCAAGGGCGGTCAGCAGTACCTCCCTCTGATCCTCTCCACCAATCAGGACAGAGCTCATGCACATGATGACCACTGAAGGTGAAATAAAAAGTTCTCTGATCTGATGTGTTCAGTTCAGGGATGCAACTTAACGATCATCTCTTAGCTCTGACCTTTGACCTTGTCGGCTTCTCTGATTTCGTTCAGCGCCTCCCGAGCCCTGCCTTTGCTGCCTGGTTCCATGGTAACCACCGGCCCAATCGGCAAACCCGATTAGTTTAGATTAGAAACCTGGCTTCTTTCACTCTTTCAAACCATCTGTCCTCTCTGTCCAAAATGTGAACACTGGCATCCTCGAAAGAGTGTCCTTTGTCCTTTAGATGCAGATGGACTGCTGCTGCTCCATTGAAAGAGGAGTGTTTGTGACAAAAGAATTTCCCTTGGGATAAATACAGTTCATCTTATCTTATCTTATCTTATCTTATCTTATCTTATCTTATCTTATCTTATCTTAAAATGCCCTTAACAATCAGGGTCATCCTGTTGATCAAAGTCCATCACTGAGTTTGTAAAAACACATTTGTCAATCATTATCTTTGGTATATAAGGAAAATGACAACATTTAATCATATTTCCTCATCACCCTCTTTTGTCTGACCATTTGAATCCCATTTGAATTTCCAATAAAGGACTCCACAGAGTTTGGTAAAAATAATGACAATAGATGTTTGTGTGAAAGTGCGGGAAGCAAATTTGTATGTGATGTTCTTTCAGTGTAGCACTCTGTAGACGGTCCCTGAGCACTGGTCTCACAGCCAGCTGCACATGACGACCAGTGTTGTTAGTCTAGGTCAGAAAATGACTCGTTGGACTGAAAATGAGCTTGATGATCCCTAACAAACCATCACAAGATTGGTTCAGATCTCTGGATTCATATATTTCTAAGTTCCTTTGGAAAGATAAACCCCCGCGTATTAGCTTAAAAACGCTACAAAGAACCAAGGATAGAGGAGGATTAGATCTGCCTAATTTTTACCAATACTTCTTAGCCAACAGGCTTCAGTTCATCTCAGAATGGTCAAAACATACCTTCCTAGTTGAGCCCTGGCTAGATGTTGAACAGGCACTATGCAAGGATCTAGAGATTTCAGACCTACCATTTATTAGCTCAAACATCAAAAGACATGAATGTTTTTAAAAGTATCAACATCAGCTTTTCTCTGACAGCATGGTGGGAGTTTCTAAAAATAACGGAGTCTTCATTAATCCCATGCAAACGTACTCCTATCTGGAATAACCCTGACATATTACAAAACAATAATATGATTAATTTCCCAGAATGGAGTTGTAAAGGAATTAAATACTTAGAACATATATTAGAGGGAACAGAATTTATTCCATTTGACAGACTAGTTGAACAATATGGGATCAACAAGACAAGATTTTTAGAATATCAACAAATTAAATCCATAGTAAAAAAGAAATTTAACCTCAGTCAAGTTGAATTACAAACACCACTAAGTGCGGCACATTTTCTTACTCTTAAATCCCCCAAATTATTATCTAAAATATACAGAACACTTTCTAAATTAGATGAATCAATATCACTTCCTATTGCAAAGTGGGAAGCAGATTTATCAGTCAGCTTAGACCAAAACTTCTGGTCTCAGATTTGCTTAAAAACCTTTAAATTGATTAAAAATCCCAGTCTGCAATTAATACAATACAAAATACTTCATAGAGTGCACTATACAGGTCATCGGATGTTCAAGATGGGCTTTACATCTTCCAACAACTGCTCACACTGTCAAGGCAATACACCAGACAATTAGATCCACGCTCTTTGGTTCTGTCCACCAGTGCAAAGGTTTTGGCGCGAGATATGTGAAGACTTATCAAAGTGTCTGAAATGTAACATTCCAACTTCCCCCTTAGTGTGTTTGTTGGGCAGCTTAGATAATGTCACTTCAGAAAAGAATATTGTCACGGTCCTGGGTCTCCTGACCCAGCGTTTTTAGTTCTTTGTGATTTTTGTATTATTGTACTTGTGTGTGATTTATTCTATGGCTTCTAGTTTTGATCCCTTGCCCTTCATGTCTCTCTGTGTCCCCTCTGTTCTGTGTAAGTGTGTCTTTGCATGTTTGAGTTTGTTTTCTGTCACTCTGCATTGTGCATTATGTTCTCATGGTTGGTTTTTTGTTACTCTCTCTAGTCTAGTCTCTTGTGTTCCCAGCTGAGTATTTCCCTGTGTATTTTGGTTCTTAGAGTCCTCTGCCTTATGGTTTATGTCTCTGTATATCTTAGTTGCTGTCTCCACTGTGTGAAGTTCGCGTCTCTGTGTGATACTTCCTGTTTTACTTTGATGGTCCGTGTCTCATGTGAATGCGTCCTGCTTTGCTTGTCTCGTCAGTCCTGATTTCTCCCAGCTGTGCCCTCCTTCTGTGTCTCATTCCCCTCGTTACTTCCCAGTGTATTTAAACCCTGTGTTTCTCTGAGTCAGTGTCGCGTCGTCCCTCTTGCTGTGTGGATCTCCCTGTGTGTCTCTCTGTGAGTTTTCCAAGTTCCCAGTTTAGATTAGTTTGTATGTTTTTTCCCTGCCAGCAAATAAAGCTGCGTTTTGAGTTCACCTCCCTGAGTCTGTGAGTCCTGCACTTTGGGTCCAACTCCTGCCTGCCGCACAGCGATTCATGACAAATATAGCCCATATGGTTTTCACTGCCCTATGCATAGCCAAGAAAACAGTCCTCATGAACTGGTAAAATAAATATAATCTTAATTCTAACCAATATAGAAATTATCTATTAGATTACATTAGTCTTGATACAGCCTCTGCCACCACATCAGATCAATTGCTCTGGCTCCTTTTATCAGCTCCATCACCTAGTGGGGGTGGGGGTCATAGTTTGGTCCCGCCTTCACTGTTGTGATTGGTGTGGGGTAGGGACAGGTTTAGGGCGTCGGGGGGTTCCCCGGAGGCATCTTCCTTGGGGGGCTCAACCCGGGGTAGCGGTCATGTCCGGTTGGGGGCTCTGTTGGCTCTCAGGTGACTGTTTCCTCGCGGCTGCGTGCAGCGGGGCTAGGGGAGGGTCTGTGCTGACGGACGTGGGTTACTGACCTGGTAGCCTGGCTGCCCCTGGGTGGGTCCGGGATGGGCGTGAGGTTCTGGGGGCGCTCCGTCTCTGGGCTGGGGCCCGGGCCGGGCCTCGGGGCTTGGGTCCTGGTTGGTGTGTTGCCGGGGTTGTGGGCGGGTGGGTGCATGGGGCCCATGGGAGTCTAGTTGTGCTGCGATGAATATGATGTGAAAGTTGTCCCGACACTGCCAATCATAGGTCCACAGAGCCTTATACAGGAAGTCTTGATCCATTCTTTGTAGAACTTTTTAATTCTGATCCTCTAAGTCTTACTCAGTAGTTAATGCA